TTTTAGGACCCTCTCATTCCTGGGGATGAGTTTATGTCTTGCCTTGATGTTCATTTGCTCTTGGTACTATGCTTTGGTTGCCATGCTAATCGCAGGATGTATATACAAATACATAGAATATAGAGGGTAAGACCATATATCTTATTTATTCTCTATTTAATAACTTTAACATTCAGCACAAAGCACTTTTCTGTAAAACAGCTACAGCTGAAGTAATAGAATTAAGTGTTCCTTGAAACAAGGTAAGATCCCATTTCTGTTAAGGAGTGTAAGTTTTCAGGTTCTAATTTCTCTGGAAGTCCTGTTCCAAACTTCTTGACAGCCAGAACTAATCACTTTAAGAATCAATAAGGCTGGGAAACTCTATATAAGCAGAATTATGGTATAAAGTTTTGGTACTTCAGGAACCTCACATTTTAATATCAAGCAGCAGCTATTACAAAATAGTTACCACGTTATTAACTTACAGTAAAGCCTAAAAACTCTACTGTTTTGTGTGGAGTTCAGCATTTTTTAGAATGAATTATACTGAGCAATCCAGGGCACCCACTGAAAATTACCTATTTTCTGAAGGCTTAGATAATCTTTAAATTGCAACATACTTTGCATTGTATACATTTGAAGGAGGGACACATACCGAGCCACACCTGTAAGAAAAGCTGTGCAAGTAGGAGACTTAAAAGAGCATGCTGAGTTCATAAGCAAGCAACAAAAAAACCCACCAAAACCAAGTAAACACCCCCCCCCCAAAAAAAAAAACAAAACCAAAAACCCAAACCAAAAAAACCCTAAACAAACAACAAAAATCAACCCAAACTAAAGAACATATCCAAACACTGGAAGTGATTATGATCAGTAATGTGTGTGCTTTCCCTTTCTAAGGAAAGATACCCAGTGCTGAAAGATCCTAATCAAAAAAGATAATAATATCTTGGAGCCGGAAATTGAAGTGAGGCCAGTTGTTTTGATTAGTGATTAAGCACAGGTCTTAAGTGGATCAGCTGGTATAAACTGCTCCACCTTGTGGGTTCTCCATCTTCTATCTCCCTTTCCAGATTAGATGCTTTCCTGGGTTGTAACAGATCCATTTACTGGGTTAATTAGAAGGAAATTAATTTTCCTATTTTAGCCAGAAAGTCAGATCAGATGATAACAGTTCTGCTTGTGTGTGCGTGTAGGTATGCACATACATAATATTATATGTACATCCAAATTTGTATATAGACTCTATAAATGTCACATAGCCAGCACATCTACCCTGTAGAAAGACCGCAGAAACAACTTTCCTCCCTGCCTTTACAAATTCAGGAGCTGATTTAGTAGTGGGGAGAAACTGTCCCTGAAATAACCAAAAATAGACTGAGGTTTTCTACAGGCAGCAGTTTTTAGGACAACGAAGTAAAAGCAACTTACATGATTGTGCTGTCCATGGGAGTACATTTTAATGGCCATGTTTTTCTAATAGCTTTTGAATTCAGGTTGGCTTGCTTTATCTAAATTTTGAAAGAAAGCTAGAGGTAACAAAGTCCAGCGAGCATTCGTAAGTGGAACTAAGGGTGGGCAAGGGAGATGGACGCTTTGCCATAGTAGAATCGCCACAAAGGAAAATAATGTGTTAGCCTAACAGTTCGTTCTTATTTGGTTGGCTACCTGGCATATAGTATGTTTTTTGTGTTGGGAGAAAGAGGAGTGGAAAATGTAGGGAGATTGGAAGTGTTCAGGAGGGGTGGATGAAGCTTTAGGCTCATCTGAGAGAGAAGCTGGGAAGGAAAGGAAGTGGAGAAAGCTGTAGTGGTGTGTTGGGGGAAGATACAACACTAATCCATACAAAATCATTTCACTTATTCACTCTGCTGCTTGAAAACAGTTCCTTTTAAGTAGCCCTCACTTACTTCTTCTAGTGCTTAAAAGCAACTTAAGTAGCTCTCATGATTACAGAAAAGCTTTTGAAGTATGAATAAAACAGACCATAATTAATATTAATAAATACATAATAAATAGTTCTCTGGAAGGGATCTGAGACTGCTTCATCTTGGTTAGTCTTCACAGATCTGCAAGATGAGGCTTTTTTTATGCATTCATGTAAAAAAGTATTCTTTTTTTATGCCCATTACCCCTCGTGAGAAAATGTACTTAGTTTGTATAAATGAATGGAACCCTATTAATTGAATCTCTTCTGCACCCTTAAGAGCGGAAAAAGAATGGGGTGATGGAATCCGAGGACTGTCTCTGAATGCAGCTCGCTATGCTTTGCTTCGTGTTGAAGACGGTCCTCCTCACACCAAGAACTGGAGGTAATTCTACACTTTCCAAGGTCACATAATTCTTGAAATACGTAACTCTATTGGGAATACTGCTGGTAAAGGTAGTGGCCAATGTGAAATTCACCATTAAAATAAAGATTTAACTTGGGGTTGGCAATGTCATTGCAATAGTAATATTTTACTGCAATAGAATGCAACTTATGGTCAGCATGTAATCAGCTCTGTGGGGAATAAAGGCAAACTAACTCGAACTGAAATCCAACAAATGTGGTGTTGACATAATTTTCCAAAGTGCAGAAGAATTTTAATGTTTGATTATTTACAGTTTTTCAGATTTAAAGGACCAGTTATCATTGAATCCCTCTATCTCTATAGAAGAAATGCTGCAATTCCATAAGCCTTTTGGTTGTTTTTTTTTCTTTGCTTCTATATATGTTCTCTCTGAAATACACTGTATAAATATTCAGAGCATCCATTGTTTGTTTAAATTAATTTTTGTGGCAATCTTTTTTATAAAGCTTCATTTAATAGTAGCACTTTTTAAATTGCTTAGAAATCATTAAAACAAAATCCATTTGTATGTATTGGGGTTAGATGTTGTGGTTTAACCTCATCCAGCAGCTAAGCACCACTCGCTCGCCCCGCCATGGTGGGGCAGGGGAGAGAATCGGAAGGATAGAAGTGGAAAAAACTCGTGGGTTGAGATAAACACAGTTTAATAGGTAAAGCAAAAGATGTGCACGAAAGCAAAGCAAAACAAGGAATTCATTCACTGCTTCCCCTTGGCAGGCAGGTGTTCAGCCATCTCCAGGAAAGCAGGGCTCCATCACGCATAATGGTTACCTGGGAAGAGACACACCATAACTTCAAAAGTCCCCTCACCCCGTCCTCCTTTTTCCCCCCTAGCATTATGTACTGAGCATGATGTCATATGGTATGGCATATTCCTTTGGCCAGCCTGGGTCAGCTGTCCTGGCTGTGTCCCCTCCCAGCTCCCTGTGCACCCCCAGCCTGCTCGCTGGCAGGCCTGCGTGAGAAGCCGGACAGTCCTTGACTGCTTAGCAACAACTAAAGACATCAGCATGTTATCAACACTTTCTCATCCCAAATCCAAAACATAGTCTCATGCTAGCTTCTGTGAAGAAAACTAACTCTATCCCAGCTGAAAGCAGTAAAGATGTCCACTGCTATTTTTGCAATCTATCAATTTTCTCAAAGCCAACACAAAGAATTACTTACAGTTTAAAAACAAAAGGACGTTTACATATTGTCACTTCTGATGAGCGTAATGCAAATCAGAAGAACTCTGATCAGTGATACTTTAATTATAGTCACTGCTTAGTGATAGTATCGCTGGGTGCATGCACATGCAATGTGCTGTTGCCCTTCAGTGTAATGGCATTATTTTACCATTTGTCATGGGACTAAGGCACATAAGCAGTTACTGTGGAATACATGAGCCACTGCCTTTATCTGTGTCTGGACTTCGCATCTTAGAGGCACCAATGTAATGTAGTGTGACTAAGAGTATTCCTGTTAAATGTCTGATATCAGTTCCAGATGCGTTATCCTTCTGTTGTTTCAATGTAATTCCTAGAACTGAACCTTCTTGTCTTAAACTGTGATAGTTTTGGAGCAGGAAGTACCCTCCAACTCTTGGTTGTTCTTTTGAATTTGTAGTAACGATGGGAAAATTATAAATTTTCCCAAGCCAAAATGTTGGTTTGGGAAAAGTAAGCAGATTGGGTATTGATTAAAGGAAACAGAATGCATTCTCATCAAATATGCAGTTGAAACTGAACTGGGAGTGCTATCAGTAAGGATATGACTCCTTTTGCAAGTACCTGTGGAGGCAGAGGAATGAGTTGACAAGAACATCATGAAAATCCGGAAGGACAAGTGCAAAGTCACTGGCTCATATGGTGGCTCATATAGCTATTCTGTACCTGAATTGTTGTTGCTATTACAAATTATGACTTCCTTGCTTGATAGTTGAATGTTTTCCATTGAATTAAGCACTGAATCTGCATTTTAGTAATTGTTACTTTTAATTTTCCAATTCTTTCTTACTTTTCTCTATGTGTATGTGTGTGTTTAACTTTTTTTTTTTTTGGCAGACCTCAACTTTTGGTCTTGTTAAACTTGGATCGTGAGCAGCTGGTAAAACACCCTCGGTTACTTTCTTTCACCTCTCAGTTAAAGGCTGGTAAAGGACTGACTATTGTGGGATCTGTGCTTCAGGGAATCTACTTGGATAAATGTACAGAAACTCAGAAAGCTGAAGAGGTATGTAAAAGCTTACAAACACTTGTAATTTCCATTAATATTTAAATGTTGAATCTGCATAACTCATATCTTGAATCAGAACAGACTGTAAAGTATTGAATAAAACATCAAATTTTTTTTTTTACTGTCAGCACAATCAACGATTATATAGGTTCATGTGTGTAGCAAAATGTTTTACAAAATTTCCCGATAGGATGAGACAATGCTGCTACTTCTTCGATTTTTGTTTTCTTTAATATTGACAGCCCTGGGCTGACAGTCAAACCACATTCCTGAAAAAGCCAAGTGATAGATTTTTTTTTTTATTATTATTAGCAAATTACCTTATAAAGAAAACAGTTTTAACAACAACAAAAAAAATCGAACAAATGCAGATGTGTTTGTCATAATTTCAATCTCTGGATGTACACTTGATATTATTTTCACTGTTGTCCTAGAAGGACATAGCAGAGCTAGGATTAGAAGCAGTCTTTGCTGGAATCCTACTCTGTTGCCTAATTGTAAACAGCATCCTTCTTGAGATGCTTTACTTTCTTTCTCCTTTTTTTTTTTTTTTTCTTAAAATTTCTTATCTACCCTATCTCTCCAGAGAAGGTAGGATGGGGTAGGAAAAAATAGTAAGTTGTCATGTAATTTAAGATGACATCTAACTGTACACAAGTAAATTTAATTTGAAAGTTTCTCTTTTTTCCTGACAACTTGTCGGTATCTGACTGTGCTACCTGATTGGAAATACATAGACATTGTGGGAAGCCCTTGAAAATACCCAAATTTAATTTTAAATTGTCCCCTGACAGAAAGAGGAAGTTAATAGACTGAGTCTCTGAAGATCCATTGTTCATACAGCTTGGACTCTCAATGCAAAGCAAGCTTCCCTTTTTGTTCAGTCTTAAACAACTTGTGTACGTCTCTGTTTAATGCTGTATTGGGGCAACTCCATATACAGAATTATATTTGCTTACCTATGCAAACTGTCCTACTTCTAACTCTATAGAATGGGGAAACATCTTTAGAAAATACTGTGTTTTGTGTATTTTATTGAATACTATTGAAAAAACTGTTGCCTTTAGAAAACTACTACAAAGCCTACTCCAAAAGTAGCTTTGATTGCCATTATATCTTCCAAAAATGATCAATATTTTCAGTGTTGTTGAAAAGAGTATCAGTTGAAATGTCTACTGTTTTATCCAAGTGGTCTTCAAAGCTATGTAAAAAATGCCTGTAATTTATTCAGACCTGGTATCTCTAAAACAGGTTTGTGTTTGAGATATTGAAATGGATCTAAGAAAGCTAACTGCCATTTTTCTCCCAGCTTTCTTTTTTTCTCCCTCATGGTATTCAGACTTGTCCCTAGTGGTTTTTAAAATAACAAAGTATGAAGCCAGATGGCCTAGCTGTTATCACATGAAAAGGCCCCAAGAGAGCAATTAGCCTGAAAACATGGTGGGTAAAGTCTAGCAATGATTTATTCTGAAAGTAATTGTTGTTAAGCTGTTATTATCAACGTGTATGAGTAGAAAACAAGACCAAGAGTACAGTCAGGCCTCTGAAATAAAACAAACAAAAACTTTACACATAAACTCTTTACCCATAAGGATTTGAAATGTTACCTATAGTTGGCTTAGCTTGAAGTCAGCTACATTTTGAGAGATGTAACAGGAATGAATTTAAGGGAGACCTAATCCCCAGGTTCTCTAGGAAGTCAGACCTGGTGTTAAGGTTGAGGAAACCATTGCTTTTAGAATGGAAATGAAGAAGAATTGTAAAAGTTTGAATGTCTGGAGGCCTTACTCATTTTGGAAAATGTCAACTAGAAAATCTTTACAGAAGATTTGTAGGAAATCAAGATTTCTCTCTGTCTTTTAAAAAGAAAAAAGCATCTATTTAAACTGGGGTGCCCCCACAGATATTGTTTGCACAGACTCTTTAGCTGTGCTACCAAATTCTCTGAAGACTTTTTTCTCTACTAAACAGAATTTCCGATGTGAAGTCACACTGAGCCAGTGCCAGGCATTCTGTGATCATGTCTGTTATGGATAGTTTTTTGATAGGAATTTTGGTGTTTCCAAAATTCCAAACATTTTCCGGGTTCTTCTTTCTGAAACCATGCTGGTCACCCATGCAAGTCATTGATGATGATGCGATTTTTGAAGTTGTGCCATCAAAACATAGTAAATGCCAAAGCTGATGTTCCCTAGTCAAACCTGATACCATTTTCAGTGCTACTTCTAAATTACTTGGTTTTGTGTCTGTATGTTTGTTGGTGTGTAAATGAAGGGGAGCCATGCTGAAATTCAAGGGTTGTGGGAGATTAATCTAGGCAGTGTATCTTGTCATTATGCAGCCAATGATTCCAATTGTCTCCTGCACATCTATTTTTCAATGTTAAGAGCCAATAAATAATCAGCCTCTTAATGTCAAAGTTATTTAAGGATCTTTGGTGGCCACTTCTTCTAAAGTCCTTGGCATCATGTTTTTCTAAACCCTTCCAATTCCAAAAGAAAAGACTTGTCATTCCAAAGATACAGTGTTTTGTCAGTCACCAGTTTTGATTTTACTTGAAGCAGTGTTACTTTATTTATCTTCATCAATGAGGCTTTACTCATACCATGTTCATTCTTCTTTGGAAATGGTGGGTATTTTGGGTTTTAGTTGTCATAGAACCATGTTCACTCTTTTGGAATTAGTGGTTTCTTGTTGTTGGTTGTACAGTGTAGCTAATGTTTTGCCCTTATGTAGTGCTGTTACTCCCTATGGTGTTTATTACTGGTGTTGATGACTCTATTTCCCCATGTGTAATCTTCCTTTTGCAGAACGTTAAGGCCCTAATGGGAGTGGAAAAGACTAAAGGATTTTGCCAGATTGTGGTGTCTCCTAATTTCAGAGATGGAATATCCTATTTGATTCAGTCAGCCGGTCTAGGAGGGATGAAGCACAATACAGTCCTGATGGCATGGCCACAGTCATGGAAGCAGACAGAAAACCGTTTCTCATGGAAAAACTTTGTTGGTATGTTCCTCTTTTGCCTCAGCAGAATTTGGGAGGATTTAAGCTTTTGAGTTTAAAACAAAACCAAAAGCTGTGAATGAAAACTAGTTGTTCTTGATCACGTGTCTTGTTTTCCCTTGCAGACACTGTACGAGAAACAACAGCAGCTCAACAAGCACTGTTGGTAGCTAAAAACATTGACTTATTTCCAACAAACCAAGAACGGTTTACTGAAGGAAACATAGATGTGTGGTGGATTGTTCACGATGGTGGTATGCTGATGTTACTGCCTTTTCTCCTTCGACAGCACAAGGCAAGGACAACAGAAAATGACTGGGACTTCATTTTCTAGCAATGAACAGTGCTAAGGGTTTCTAATGAAATCCTCTTTCACCTTGATAGTTATGCATGGTGATAGCAATCACAAATTCTTATAATGTATTTTTTGGATAGGTTTGGAGAAAATGTAAAATGCGTATCTTCACTGTTGCTCAAATGGATGATAATAGCATTCAAATGAAGAAGGATCTTCAGATGTTCTTGTATCATCTTAGACTGAATGCTGAAGTGGAAGTTGTTGAAATGGTACGTTACTGCATATTTTTTTTAGGTGCAGTTGAGACTAACTTGTGCAAATGGATTTAGCATTTTTGAAACTAAAAGATGTTAGCCCAAATATAAAAAGGGAAAGATTGCAGTCCCACTGAGAACTAGAAATTTTTTTAAAACAACATTATCTTACCATGTCACAATGCTAGTGTATGTGGTAGCAAGTTTGATATTTTTGTCAAGTTGAGCCATTTTGATATGCACCTATTTATTTATGAGGACTAGTCCGTAGAAATAGCTCATTCAGGAAGGAAAAAGCTTGAGGTTTTAGCAGGCAGTGAAATGGGAGGCTGAATGTGCTTAATCATGGGGTCCAGCATGAGAGAGGATGAACATGTCCATTTCTCTAGCTGCTGTATGAGTATCTCTGGAATAAGGAATCCCTAGTCCCCCGTGAGAGTGTGTCAGTCGTTTTTAGCATTGCCAACCTCTTTGCCATTGAACAGCAAGACAATATAGCTACAGATTCACAAGTCAAATAGTGACAAAATTCATTTTGTCACTTTTTCCCCCTTTTTAAATAATGGCCGTAACCTGCTAAAGAGAAAGGACTAAAGCTGTAGTCTGTCTGGACATGCTTTTTTGGCACCTAAGGAAAAACTTAATTTCCAGCACTCAAAGGTGACTAGCATACTGTCCAAAGAAAGACACACAAAAAAAACCCCGAAACCAAAAACCTTTAAAACTCATTCTGAAGTGGGATGAAGAAGAGGAGTCAACTGGTTCAAACTTCTACTACCACCAGTTCCTGGAATGAACAAAACATATCAAAAAGATTTATCATTCTAATCAACCATAAAGCAAATTTTAAGAATTGTTTAAATTACTTATGGGGAAAAAATTACTTCTAAAAATTTGGCTGGTATTTTGAACTAGGAAGTAAGATAAATCCTTTTATTTTGTTTTAGAGTACTGAATATGAAAGACTAAAATGCTGTGGCATGTGCAGGTGAAAGAAGATGAACAGTGTGCCATGAAAAAAGCTCAGCCTTGGTTGGATTTTGAGCAGAAGATAGTATAGGAAACACAGTTTTTTCTTTTTTCATGTGGGTCATATTTAACCCTGAGAATATTCCAAAAGATGAGACACCTTAGGAGTTAGTGACAACGCAGATGACTGCTGTAGATTTTTACATTGTATTTTGTCTTTGAGCTGATATGAGACTATATGCTGGGGTTTCTTCATAAATGCTCCTATTTGTGAAGATTTCTCACTGGAGAAAGGACAATGTATTATTTTGGGACTCTAGACAGTTTTTAAGGAAACAAGTGTGCACACATGCTCAGGAGGCAGCAATGCAGACCTGGTTTAAAGAAGCGCTTTCAACCCTTCATTTCTGCAGCCTAGTTGGAACAGGACAATGGGGAGTCTGTCCCAAGTACCTCGAATGGAGGAAAAGATCACATTGGTATTGGTATAGTACCGATTGATACAGTTGAATGTGCGAAATTCCTGTTTGAAGATGAAATTTTAAGAATGAGGACAGAAATGTTTGAGCAACTACGTGCTTGGGATTACTCTAGTGCCATAAATACATCCAGGACTGAATGAATGTCTAAACATTGTTCTTCTGAGTAGTGCTTTTCTTCTGATATTTCTAATGCATTTCTAATGCCAATCTCTTTTGCAGTTTGAAAATGATATTTCTGCATTCACATATGAGAAGACACTTATGATGGAACAGCGATCTCAGATGCTAAAGCAGATGCAGCTATCAAAGAACGAAAGGGAGAGAGAGGTAGGGACTTTGGCCTGGCAAGATGTTCTGTGAAAAATCTGAAAGTAGTATTTCTTGGCCAGGGCTTCTGATCAGGTTCTGACTAGTCAAAAGCTTTTATTACTGCGTTCTATGTTAGCTTCTCTACAGCGGGTTTCACTTGCAAGGTTAAAATAACGTGGGGGAAAATGAATAACTGTTTTTTATATTTGAACAAATGGCTAGAGTTTTCCTGCTCGTGTTAAGATTAGTGCAAGTATGTACTAGCAAAACATTTGAGCGTCAGTGTGGAATATTTCCAGAGCATTTCCAAACTTGATGTATATCAGTAGCTAAGGTTCATGATTATTTAATGGGGCTGACTGATTAGCTTTGTTTGTGACTTGGTCTTGTTCAATTCACACAGACTATTTTTCAGTTTCTGCATTATTTTGAATGCTTTATGTATATTCCCTCCTTATTTATTCTTTTTTCTATTTCACAGGATTTTTTTTAAGATTCCTAAAGATGCCTTTTATAGCTACAACAATGTGCTGCTGTAAATTCTCTTTCTTCTCATCTGCATCATGGCAGTTTTCTTTTGATCTGAGCCTGCCTAACATCTTTTCAGGAAAAAAACCACACTCTCCTGTGTTGCCTACTTAGCGTGTTTACATTTTTCTTATTTCTTTATTGAACACTAATATTTTTCCATGGGAGTTTGAGTGATTAATCAATCTAGAGTAGGCTTTTAAGGATTTAACTTCCTCATGAATGCTTTACAAGTAGTCCAAGGATGTAAGCTCTGCAGTCTATAGCATATAAGTTGTAGTGGAGACAAATAATTTCTTCTAAGCTCTGTGAGTTGGTTGGAATCTGCACTACTTCAAAGTGTTGTTTTCCTGGAAGTTTTAATTTTCTCTTCCCCCCACATTTAATTTTTTTTACTCACTTTTATCTGAATGTAATCATCACCATTATAGCTTCAGTTTGTTCTGTCATATCAGGCAGTGTAAAATTGGAGATGTTCAAAATACCATTGGATTTATTTCATGGTTTAAAGTAAAATCCTGATAATTCCAAGAACATGTAGTAGTTATTTCCTGACTTGTCCAAGAATAAAAGCCATATCCATCTGTTGTTTCTCATTAGGGTATCTTAATCTACCTTGTTCTTTTGTATTTTCATCAGAAAATGCTGTTCAGTTATGCCTTTGCTTCTGGAGCTACAAATTGAGTAGTGTGCCAGGCCCTTTCTGAACCTGATCATCTCTTCTTATCACTCCTCTCTTAAATGAGCTGTGCCATCCCCTTCAGTTTTCTGATGACCTCCAAAACATTTCTGTCATTAGTATCACTAGTTCAAATTAGCATTGCTTTTGTTTTCATTATTTGTCGCCAGACATTGAAATATAACCCTGATATTCCAGCTCTGGATGGTGCTTATAGTTTTGTTTCCTGTTATCACCAAGATTAATATTTTTAACCTCACTTTTGTGTTTGTACCTCTTCAAATGAGGTTCAAATCTTTGTGGAGAAGAGAATTCATTTTTGTATAACATTCTTCTGCTGTTTCCCTCATAGGCCTGCTCTTATCCTCACCCTCTCCTCTTCTGTCACTTTTTTTTTAAATGGAACTTTGATCTTGCCTCTGGGTTTTCTTGTGGAACTGGGGCATGGGGACTGACTGAATTTTTGTTTCCTTTTTTGAGAAACTTGGTTAATTTGCTTGTAACTACAACACGTGCCTGTAAAGTGTAGGATCTGCGGACTTAGGCACAACTGCCAAACATTTATTTATTTGACTTTGACAGTAGCACTGTAAAGATGTGGAGCCTTGTTCACCTCCTTGCCGCCCTTCTTGGTGATTGAATGACTGTTGGGCCAGGCAGTGGTGATGTTGGAGCTGTGAGAAGGTGTTATCCGTCCCCCCACTATTTTGTGTTGGGTTGCACAGTGCAAGTGCTGTTGTGCACATTGCTGCTGCTATGGGAGATTGGCAGAAATGTGGGTGCATATACACGAGGAGCACAATTATAGTTCCTGAATCACTGGGAAATAAATCAGTGTTGAGAGTCAAAGCAGCTTTCTCATCTGCTTAACTTTTTTCATACTTCGACTGCAACTGAATAAAATAAATTCACCTAAATCATCACATATATGAAGGGATGTGACCCTCACAAACAAGTGAACATTTTAGGTTCCCATATAGACTAAAGGATTCAATTCACTTCATGTTTTCACAAATCTCTGTAAAGAGAGTTCATAACTAACTGCTAAACATTTCAAAAAGAGCCACATACTATACATACACAAATGGCGTGTTTGTGAAAACAAACCAAGTTTATAACAAGCTACAATACTGAATCTCATCTGTTTAAAAATAAAGACAATTTTTATTTTGAATAATGACAATCTGCTTTTTTCTGTAGACTGGGGGTTTTTTGTCATTGGTAACCTTTTTGTCCCAGATTCAGAGCATCACTGATGAGTCTCGAGGCTCAATCAGAAGAAAAAGCTACTCCAGTCCACAATCCCTTGGCCAAGATGTACAGGCACTGCTGACTAATGATTATCAAGAGGAGGAGGTAGCTGGACATAGTACTGGCTAGATATATTTTCCCATTGCAACACTTGAAGTGCCACTATTGCAAACTGAACTACAAATGAACAACTTGATCATTCATTGTCATGGAACAGTTCGTCATAAATTTTAGTTCTACTGTTTTTCTAAATTCATTAATTTACCCTATATTTTTTCTCTAGATGGTGCTTCTGTGAGATGAACTACATCCTATTTTTCTCACACTTATTTTCCACGAGAGAAAGAGTTATGTTTCTGAGAGTGCCTGTTTTTAAGAGCCAGAAGCAAAGATATTTCTCTGCCTTCTGTCATTAAAAAGTCTTATTAGTGGGTGTTTCATTAATAAGCATATTTCATGCTTTCACGAAGCATTGCCTTTCTTTATACTTCCTATATTGAAGTACTGAAGCTTCTTGGAGCCTATATAGATATACTAGGACTTTTTAAGGAGATTTCGATATTGATTGACAAGGCAATATTAACCCATAAATGTCATTACTACTTTCTGCATGGCGAGTTTTAAAGGAAGTGGACTCATGTAATCAATGGTTTTAGTGTGCACTTGAAGTGTTGCTGATATCTAAAGGTATGTAGCCTAGTTTGTGGAAATGATGTATACCTTTGTGTTTCCCTTTCTTCATGAAGTATGAGAAGAACTTGTTACATTCCATGTAACTAATTTAGTATCAAAATAGCACTAACAAAAATGTGGTTTTGTTGTCTGTGCATTTTTATGAATGTGTGCTATAGGTCCAAAATTTCTCTTGGCCTCATCGTCTTTCTAAAAATGGTGAACTTTCTTCCATTGAAGCATAGTTGTACCGAATTCATCTTACAGTTTTTAGTTTGAAATTTTAGTTCACTAGATACTGCTATATAGCATGTATAGTATCTGCATGTATTTGTTAGCTTTTTCCACTCCCATGATAGAACTGTATTCACAGTAACTTCTGATTTGTAGTCTCGACTCATGATTTAATCTTCTGGGGAGATATGAAGACTGTAAAACGTAGATATTTACGTGAACCTCAGAATTGAACTCTAGGATTTGGGAATCCTCAAGGATATGGACTGGGGAAATAATTTAGGAAAAATACAGAAGCTCTTAAGGATTTAAAAACAGCTGCAATTACAGTTTGTGAACCCGTAGGGCAATTACTGTTCAGAGATAGAAAGTTGTTTTCTCATCTACTTGGATTTTATTAATGATTTTGATTGTGACCTGAATGAAATTGGTTCTACTGAATCATCACATATGTGGAGGGACATGACCATCACTAACATGTGAATAATTAAGGTTCCCAAATAGAACAGGAGCTTCAACTCATGATTTAACAAGTCTCTGAAGAGAAAAAAACCAACCCATCAACCCCTACCACCACCGCAAACCCCGCCCCCCCCAAACAGAACACCCAAAACCACAGAAACAATCCTCCCCCTATACCAATTCACTTATGACTTTAAGAGTCCAAGGTACTGTATTTGTATTGCTTTTGATAAAAATACAGAAGCCTATGGACAAAGTATTATGAGGGTAAGTAAGTAAATAACATGTGTTAAATAAGTCTTCCCACTTTCCTCAAGAGGAGCAAGGGGAATGGGAAATGGAGAACACGGAAGTGTGTATATACATGCGGGAACAACAATATTGTGTTCTTAAAGTTGTGATTTGAGTTTCTGCTTTTATAAAGGAAGAGAAGGCCCCTCCATGATTGGCTTTTGTTATGTAATGTGCACTTGCATGCATAAATAATCTAATGGAACGTAGCTAGCCTTCAATTCGACGAGTCCAGTGTTGTGTTACTAGGATCACGGTGGTCGTGCTGGTAGTTCAGCTACAGGCATGTGAAATGGACAGACAGTACCTGAGAAAACAATAATGCTGCTGGTGAAGAATGGGGGCACTGGCTTTCAAGTTTTTTCACTGGCAAAACACCTTGGTGTTAATAAAGTACCCTCAGGCTGGATTCAGCCTCAGTTTAGTGCATTACAAAAATAACATCCCAGCCCAGATGTAATCCTGCAAATATAAATAACTAACTACATTTTTACAAGCAGTTTATCTTCATGCCTAAGTCAAGAGAGTCTGGTATTTGTTCACAAAGTAAGGTGCATTTTTCCACATCTTCTTTTGTTCCACATCTTCTTTTGTTCCACTGCTGTGAAATTATTTTTCAAAACTTTAATAATGTGTAATCTGCAAATGTTCTTTTTGGCTGAATCTTGGGATGTTTGTTTTGTGTCCAGGCTCAGCTGATCCATGACAGAAACACTGCCTCTCACTCAGCTCCAGCAGTAAAAGCAAGTGTGGCTGCTGCTGTGCCAGAAAAAGTGCAGATGACCTGGACTAAAGAGAAGTTTGTAGCTGAAAAGCATAAAACCAAAGATTCAAATGTGTCTGGCTTTAAAGATATCTTCAACATGAAGCCGTAAGTATACGTGTGGTGTTTGGAGTTTTGTATTTGATTATGTGTATTTTAGTGTGTGTATTTTGGGGTTATTGTTGTTCTGGGTTTCATGTTTATAAGAGATTCTGGCTTATTATTTGAAATTGAGTACAAACATGATCTTTCCACACACTTCACTTAGTTTCATAAGGATGGCATCTAGTACGGACTTGGATGGAACAATGACTGTAAAGAGTCATTCACAAGAATGACAGAAAGACATCAGCTTGTTCCCTTCCTCATGTTGTGATTCAAGCGTACACATGCATCTTTTCTGAGTTCTGGAAAAATGCATTTATAAGCATGGCCTAGACTATTTTTCTGCACATGCCCAGAGCGAAACCGTGGATGTCAAGGGGAACTTCAATATGTAAAGGAAACATATCTTAACTCTAGGACTTGTGAACAGTAGAGTTAAAAGGTACACTTAGAATCAGCACCTTAAAAGCCTCAGCTGTTTTGTGGATTTGCCCTGAGCAGTTTACAACACAGTTTGCTATCTGCAAATTCCAAGCATCATCTGGCTCATGCTCTAAAGCACTGTTTTTTGCTCTGGGCTGCATTATACCCTAATTCTTAGGGATGTTTTTTGTTAATATCTTAGAAATATTTCCTATTACTGCTTTAGAATTGTGTAAGATACAGACTTCAGATATTATTTTAAAATTACTATCTGTGGTTGGGGTGGAAATTACAGTTCAAACTTGGTGTGCTTGTACAATATACTAATATTGTTGAATTAAAAATGTACCTGATGGCATAAATATTTTTTTTCTGTGCTTTTGCTTCCCTTCCATGTAGAGAATGGGGAAATCTGTAAGTCTGAATTTCATTTCACTTAAGCAACGTAGGCTGTGTTCCCTGGTTCTTGTGGTCGTGTACATTGTATGCATGTTTCCTAAATCATGATTTTCAGTGTGTGTATTCTTTTGTGCCTTGTTTTATATATACTGTGATATAGCATTTATCACTGAAAAATATTCTTCATCATGACTTGTTAACATTTTCTTCGAAATATTTACCGTGAATGGGAAGTTGATAATCACAGAACATGTGGTTTAGTTTCTGTAAGTACGTAAAACTTGACAGTACTCTTCTGCATTAGTGTAATACTTATTTTTCTAATTAACTACATTAAAGAGTGAGTATATTTTTTGTTCTGGAAAAATAGCCCTTACTGTGCTATAACTACTTGAACAATAAGGACGAATTTGTTCACAAAGGGAACTTTCATGTTTCATCAAATGCCAATTCTTGCCTCCCTTCTATCAACCCGTGCTTGTGTAGAAATAACATAAGTTGAGATATACATTGGGTATGACAGCATATAAAAATGGGACACTACATCTCTGTTATTGGGTAGAATGGACTTCTGACTCTGCATTTTTTTCAGAGCCCAGTATTGTCTTCATTTTGTCCATTTAACAAATAGAGCTGCTTCTGAAAACTTATGAAAGTTTACTTTGTGTTCCATGTATGATTTCAGTTCTACTAGTTCTTGAAGTCTAAATGAAGTCAGCCTCAGATCAGATTGCACACAATGTACCTGTAGTCAGTTTGAGCATTTATTTCAGTGCTGAATTCTTGTCCACTCCATCAAAAATTTACACCTTCCATATTTCCGCTGCATTTTATCTTTACTTTAACAATGTTTCTACTTCAATATTCATACACCTCTTCAGTTATATACTTTGCCTCTCTTTTCATAGTTGTTCTTTGGTCTTTTCAAGCTGCTGTTCCGCTTCTGAAAAACTGAGCTTCAAGTATTCTGTTGTTCTGTATATGGTTTTGTACAGTTGGTTCTTAGGGCAGATGTCCACTCTGACAGAAAATCCCCCAGGAAAGACTGAAAAACTCAGTTTTGGAAATGTCATTGCCTTGGGGGAAAATGCAGGGGCGGGGGGAAGAGAATCAATTGAAATTGATGGAGCTGGTCTCCGTTGGCCACTAAACTGCAGACCAAATTTTTCTTCCTAATTGCCTCTGCAAAATGAAGGATGAAAATACAACATGAGAAATGCTACTTCTAATAGTATCCTGTTAAGGGCTTTTTCCTTCATAGTAAAAAAAAAAAACCACAAACCTACAAACAAAGAAACCCCAAACACCAGAAACAGGACTTAGTAGAACACAAGTATGTACGCTCCCAGCATTTTTCATCTTTCTTGGTCCCCTGTGTTCGAATGAACCAGTATTCGGCTGCTGTTCTCAACTGCACACTTAAATAATCTGAGGGTGGCCTCATGTTGCTAGAAGATTCTAGAATTAAGTGTTGATGTAGTCCCCTGAGATGACTTCTGGTAGGAGAACAAAGTTGTGTGTTTCCTCTTGTAAATTTTGGCCTCCTAAATGTTCTTCTCTTGGGAAAAGAGATCTCATTAATCTCTATTGTTTACTTGAGCTGAAGCAGTGCTGAGGTTTGTGCTCTAATTTTGATTGCTGTGGAATTCAAAAGATGCCAGACTTGATCAGGCTCTTCAGAGGATGTCTTACATCCTGCTGCTACTAACCTGCCAGTCCCCTCTCTGCCACAGGACAGCATGTCAGCCCACGTACAGTTGTGCTTCTACCATGAGACCATTAGTGCTAAGAAAATTGCACAGGGTAGAATAATACAAATGTCTTGCACCAGTATATCAGAATCTCTGTTCTTGAGATGTACTGTCACCCTGTGTTTCTGAGGTTCCCTTTGAAGTGACTCACTTCACTTGTGAAGAATCTACTCTTGTGCAGTGGATCTTTTGGATAAATGGGCTTAGGTAGAGTCTGGATATTTCTGTTGCACTATAGCTATGACTCATTTCCAGTCTTGGCTAATTTTACACAGATGGTAGCATCTCAGAAACTATAAGGAAACTGTTCTTTTGTTCTGAAGCGCAACTAAATCATCCAAGGCAGATCCTAAAATAAGGAAATCTCTGAAGTCCTAGCAGTTTCTTCTTCCTTCGCACAATTTTACAACAGTTGTATTTGTGGAGGCAACAAGTAAAACATTTGTTAATATTGACAATGTAAAGGGAGAAGCTCAATTTCAGTTCATTGCTTACTGCTTTACTCCTATGATGTGAAAAAACAGTATCTTTTTCATAAATTCTATGCTGTTTCTGAATTGTCTTCACCAGGCTTATAATAATCTTGTAATGTTTCTGAAGGAACATGAGGGAAATCTTGTACCGTACAGCATGAATACTGTAATCTTTCCATTGCATTTCTGTAATTCCCTTTGTTTGGAATTTTTTGTACAAACACAGTTACTTTTTATAGAATTCCATAAACCGGATTCTCAGTGTTTTCTATTGAAATTAAGTTTTTGCTTCATCTTTGTGAAAGATAATTGAAAATTGGAAGACTTATGCATCTTGGCAATCTGTTTAGAATTGCTTGAATTTCAGAGTTAAATGTTCTTTTCAAAGGAAAAAAAAATCTTTTAAACCTAGGTATTGCATTTTCTCAAATTTAGTTTGAGTGTGTACAAATACTGGTGTCCATGAAAATAGCTTATTCTATGTGCATATAGATTAAATTTATAAATTCAAATGCATAACATATAAATCAAATACTTAAGTATTGTGACAATAATTTAAAATGTTTCTTTGCACGCTAGGAATCAGTCAAATGTGAGAAGAATGCACACCGCTGTGAAGCTGAATGGAGTAGTGCTTAATAAATCACAGCATGCGCAGCTAGTTCTCCTGAATATGCCTGGACCTCCTAAAAACAGAAAAGGGGATGAAAACTGTATCCTCTACTACATTGCTTCCATATTTCTTGAAATTGGGATTTTGATTTTTGTGGTTGTGCCATTGTCTACTTTTGGGAAAACCATTAGTAACTGTGGTAAGCAAAAGTGTGTACCTTTAAGATGACGACTTTTGATTCCACAGAGTTTTAAAGAAATGTTGATAGTGTGTTTTTTTTAATGGAATTTATGTAAAGCATTCCCCAATTCTGAACTTATTTTAAAATCTCTATTTTTATAGTAGGGCAGAACTAGAAATTTTCCCCAAATTAGGCCTTGCTTTCACTTGAGCAGGTAGGTCGATTACATAATGGGACAGTAAAGGGTGACACAGGAGAACTTGATGAAATTGTTGCACTTGGTTTTTGCATTATATGTCAGACTTTTTGAGAGATTAGTGGCTATTTTGTTTCTTTTCTGAATAAATTCCTTGACTTAATGATATTTCAGACATGGAGTTTTTGGAAGTTCTGACAGAAGGTCTGGATAGAGTTCTCCTGGTCCGAGGCAGTGGACGTGAAGTCATCACCATTTATTCTTAACCTGTTTGCATATTTTGTTCAAAACACACCCACCCTACACACACCCCCTAAAAAAAAAAAAAAAAAAGGAGAAAAAGTTATTTGCCATAATTTGAGCAGCTTCATTAAGAGTTCTAGTGTATCGAAGATTACTTGCAAGCTGAATCTTCTGATGATGAGTTCTGTTTTTTCTATTAAAAAGTTATATTTAAATTATATTTTACGAAGATAGATTTCTGTAGAAAATATTTCTGTAGTGAATTAATAAGTGGTAGATGGGTTAGGCTATTTATATGTAGCATATTCTGATACTTGTTAAACTGTGGTAAAACACAAGAAAAGAAATGGTAATGCAATGGTATTTTTAAACATACAGAAATGTAACCAACTTTTTTGATGATTTTAATCTTTGTTCTGCATCTAAATAAAAGGGAAAGGTTTTGGAAAATGTTGGTTTCCATCCTTACCAAAATGCTGCTATGTTGCTTCTGTTAGGATTAGTCCTGGTTCAGGAAACTTCTTTCTGAAATGTATACAACTACTCAAATTTGTATATTATGTGCATAAAGTGTTTCCCTGAAGTTCATGATTTGCCACATATGTTTTAAATAACGTTTCTCTATTTAAAATACTTAGTCAGGTAGCTGAAGCCTCCAGGTGACAGTAATAGTAAATTGACAAGTTGTGTGGGTTTTCACATGAGCTACTAGCAGTTATAGTATATTGCACAATTATACCATTGAAACCTGAGAGCATCCAACTCAGAGGAAGGCTATGATGCAGCTGGATGCAAATATAGTTGTAACAATTGATAAACCACAGCAAGTTGGTTAATGAAGTGCAGTCTCTTGTTTTCAAATATGTATATTTTGAAAAAGTTGTATGTATGTGCTGCTGTTTAAAATAAAATCTGCTTTTCTGAAATGAACAAGTTCTTAAGTGTTTTTAATTTGAAATTCTTGAACAACTTAGTTTACATGCTCAATCGCAACCTTTTGCTTCTGTCAGAATTCTGCCCCTTTTTGGACACAGTTTAATTTTGTAAATGTTGTTTAAGACCTAAAGTGTTTGTTGGGTAGTGAAGATTGTTTTACTCTAAAAAGAATGGTTTTATTTAAATATATATAAACTATTCTTTTTATAATACATTCAACATCTCTGTTGCTCAGACTGGGATAGCAGTGATGCAGGGTTGTGACATGGCAGCAGCAGCAGAGTTTGTAACCATTTGCTAACAATTCTTCTTTCTGGTTTGTTTTTTTTTTTTCCCTGAGAGACCAGTGAGCCAAGTAACTCGCTGTGTGGCTACATAACCACTTCTCGCCAAAGCAGGTGTTGGAATGCGTGGCCAGAATTGGGATGGGACTATGTTTCTTGGGTGAAAGTAGAGTCTTAGGTTGGCCATGTCAAGCATGAAAGAGCAGCTGTTTTTGTTTTAGAGAAGCCTCCTGTAGGTTGATCTCCTCAGAACAGGTAAAAAGCTTTTCTTTGGTTTAAAACAGGATTCGTGTGGACTCGATGCTTGTATGGTG